GGGAATTGAGAATTAAAATAAATAATTCCTCACATAATTGCTAACGAAAACCACTGTACATCCAATATATAAACAATTATAAAGTGTAATAATAACCTATTCTATCAACATCTGAATGAATAATCCCAGCTTCTTAAGCTTCATACCCTTCTTGAACTGCAAGTCTGGCATCTTTTGCTGTCAATTTTTTTAAAAAAACATATTTAATTGTCTTTCATGTAAATGTAGTATTTTTGAACTTTTGACTGAAATGTAGTGTAGATTTTATTTATTATGAATATCAGCTGTACATCATAGGCTCACAAACGTTTCGATTTTTCTGWAAACATTGTCTTATGACAATGTCCAATCTTATTTTTCGTTTTCGTCGTTTCGGTGTAGATGTATTTGCAGCTRAATATTGAAGCAATTGTGAAGCAAAGCGCACGGTGATAACGCTAACACCCGGTTCATACGTCGAGCCAGTTYCGCGCCGAACCAAATAGTTTGACTTTAGCACACGAATAGCTCGACGAATGAATCAGTTTAGTTCGGTKTGACCGTAGCCAGGCAGCACCAGTCGTGCTGCAAGGCGAAAGMTCCACGCTGATTCAAACGTCGAGCTTGCACGAAAATACATGTACATATCCGTTTTCGACAATAATCAAATGGATGTAAATTGCGTTGCGTTGTTGAAAGCGGTGAATTTCTGGATAAAACAGCTGTTATAAAGTTCCCAGTATGACAAATTTACTTTGAGTGAAGTGTAAGTTGTATTTCTGAAAAGAAAACGATGTTCATCGTGTTATTTTTCGTCAGTTTTTAGGCCGCCATTGTGAATATCATCGACAGCGAGTTGTCACGAWTAGCGYCCTGAGGCGACAGAAACTGAACTGGTTGGAAAAACCGATGCGAAAGCGGCATTACTGATCGCTTAAAATAGAACCGAAAAATTTCTTTTTCTRATAAAGCAGACTGGGAAGAAAAACGCCACGAATCTACTCATTTGACAGTTTGGCGCAAGACGCACAGTTCGTATCCCTGAGTTGGTATCCTTATCACAATCAAGGCTCGTTATACTTTTTCGATTCATATGCATATTTTCGTATTGCTGAACAAGATTTTGAAAAGCAAACAAACTTGGGTTCCTTTGCTTTGTCTGTAGCTATTCGACATCCATAGTCCACAACATAAACAAAAAGTTCACATAACGGTGATCAGGGATACCAAGCAAAATATTTTTCAACGTTAAACATGGAAACATTATTGATTCCTTCAACAACCACTCTTGACAATCTATGTAACACTTTTTTAGTTACAGAACAATCTACAAAGAAATGTGCCATTGTCTCAGGTGTTGTGTTGCAAAAACTACAATTTGCGGAGCTAATAATTCCGAACTTACTAAGTTTCTGGTTCAAGTACAAGCAATTCTAAGTGATCTTATATTGAAAAGCTCTAAGCTTAGTGTCAATAGTACTCGTATAGATATTTTTATAAACTAATGACCAATCTACATTAGAAGAGTGTAGTTTCCTTTCTATACTTTTCTGCGCCGTTGGAGTACTGCCTATAGTTTTAATCAAAAGYGTATCTATCGTTTTTGAGGTTGCCTTAGTCAGTGGACAAACCGTGTCACCTACACCGATGTACCGACGTTTGTAATCATTTTCTTCTTTTTGCCGGACCCCCTTGTTTTTCTCATCTTTTCTTTCCAAGCTTTTGGGAGAGCATCAATTAATTCTCTCCATAGTAAAAAGTCTCTATCTTCCCAACCAGCTTCCTTCGCTTTTTCCAACTAGGTTTTCCCCCTGCCCATATACCTGTTCTAATGAAACTATCCCATTTCCTTTCAAAGCCCGCACCGTTTTACTTTCCATTTTTTTCATGTTGATATATCTATTGAAACTGATTGACTGTTTCAGAATATCTTTAATTAAAACTACTTCGACTTTGACTCACTTCATCCCATGTCTGAAATATTTCAATGTAGCAGTCTGGCAATGACATCGAAAAATTTATTCTGATCGAAATTTTCCTTCGAGTGAGTCATACCACCTATGTCCTCTAACCATTTATCTAGACAACCATTAATCAGACTTTTTTCAGGACAATTTGAAATCAGCCGCCATCTTGGATGATCGAAGTTGTCATCCAAGATGGCGTCCCCATACAAATTAACCAAATATTTCAAATCTTTATTCGCTTATATCTTCATCAGAAAGTAAGCTATAGGACTTTAAGCTCGTATTCTAGATGATCTGCCATGCTTTTTGTGACTTGCTACTTGGGTTTTGCCGAAATTAACGACTAATAAAATTTCACTTCGGGGGTTGCACATCAGAAATTGAGAAATCCTGACGGTGGTCAACATCTGTCCACCGTCTGGATTAATTCAAAGGTTTACAACGACGGAAATTTGAAGTTTTTTGGACATATTTCGTAGAATATTCTTACAGTCAATAAAATGTGAGGTAACTAAATGTTTTATGCAGAGTCATTTTAAAGCTTTAGAGTTTAAAACTGACTGACGTGGATAGAATCGTCTCACGAACAATAAATACTAATTACATAATTACAATGTCGCGCGATCATGTAGAAACATGGATTTTTCATTATATATATACCGATTTAGAAACTTGCATATTCACGTTTCTCTTCACTTTATACGCACTTTCATGTTTCTTTGCAAATTTAAAAAAAAATACATGTTTTAATTCTGAACCAATGTCGATCAATCGATGTATAATTAATTAATGTATTTGTATGTATTCATCTACTAAGGGTTGGTCTTGCATTATTATTCTAGTGGAGATTAGAGTCCTCCTTGAATCCCAGTGAAAAATGAGATATCACCGACATTTGTTAAAACCGGGAATTCCATACAGTTTACAGTGTTGATCGGTTTAGCCATTATGTTAGGAACAGTTGAAWTTGTTACAACGATAGCGTTATCTATCCTGGTTTTGTGCAGCTTGGTTGGAAATACTCTCGTAGTTCTGGTTGTCATTCGTAACCGAGCTTTGAGAAAACCCATCAACCTTCTNCTTTGCTCCACCAAGATTGTCACAAAAGTTGCAACTCAAGGAAGGGCGAACCAAGATAACTGGATGAAAAAGTATAGTTTGTCTTTTAGTCAAGATGGTGCTGTGTGGAGCCAGTACAATGGAGGAGGTGCTGCCAAAATGGTAAGTGGTTACCTAGCGACGGTACTCCTTAGAAAAAAGTGGTYGAGGTGCTAGTTTATATGGTCGAAAATATGACTCAACTCAGTTTTTTTTTTTATCTCGCAGTTTCAATTTACGAAAATTACGAAGGCTTAAACAGGTTATTTGGAAAGAATGTGATCAATTGTCGAGCTATTAACCAAGAATTTTATCACAAGGTCTTTCAAAATAGTTTGAACTGCCTCGGTTTCATTTTTCCTTCAGGAAACAAAATAAAAGAAACGAACCCTAAGATGAATCTTGCCATACCTTGTAGGCTGAATGTATATCTGTTGAAATATGATTAGAAGAAAGTACGGTCTACACTAGGCAAGGAGGAGGGAGGGCGAGGGGGAATAAGCCTTATCAAACATTTTTACTTTTAATCCTATTCTTTTCATAAAATTTTAGAGAAGCGTTCCATCTCTCAAGATCTCAACGGTCTCTACTCGTTATTTATTATGCTATCCATTGCCTGTCATTGTTCTCTAGGCCAGCCACCGCTGGCCGCCCCATTGCCGGATTAGCTCGCTAGTGGCACTTAATTTATTTAAAGATTAAAGATTAAAGGTGCAGAATCTATATTTGTGTCCACCCCTGTGTTCCCTTTCAAAATTTCTTGATCCGACCTGCTAGGCACTTCTGTTATACAAGCCTTTTCGTCTTTATTGTCAATAAGCGCGCGTTTGCTTCTCTAAATATTYCAACTCTATATTTTTGCTCAATAGCATTTTTAATACCGTGGGCGTTAYTTCTTATATKCAGGTATTCAATGGTAACGAAGATCGCAACACAGTTGTAACACATACCCTTCCTGTGCCAATCAAGGCGAGATATATCAGGGTAGTACCAGAGTTAAAYAGAGGTTGGACCGCAATGAGATTTGARCTCTACGGTTGCTAAAAAAAGAGAGAGATGCTGCGGAAGAAGTTACCTTAAGGACAGTAAACCCAATTGACCTTTGAACTKTTTACGTCACTACTTSACTTTCAATGCATTGTGGGTTCAGTTCGTAGAGAAAACAAAAGAAATCAGCCATGTTCTATCGGCCCGCAAACATATCCTACAGTGCATTGCGTATACGGTACATGACGTAAAAGCTTCAGAGACTCGATTGAACCGAAGAGAGACGTCGTGGCTGCACAGGCAATTGTCTGCTTTATATATTAATAGTTATCTTG